AGTTCGGAGGTAAAGAATGCAGCAGGTATACAATTTGTATCAAGGAAAGATAAGCTACATGCACCAGTGAAGGGTATCTCCCATGCTGCACGAGACCCTATGAAAAATAAATGAACATTGAACATGGAAACTTGAATAAAACTTGAACATCTTTGAAACTTGTCTTTTTTCACATTCTACTTAGTTGGCCTCAGTTGAACTAAGTATCAACAATTGTCCTCAATGGCTGTTTTTGAATTCTGAGATCAACAAGATCCATTGAGTATGATACTTGATATCTTGGTGGTGTCAGTAATTTGAAACTAACTAATATCAGTTGCCAATGTGAGCAATTTTGACCAATATAAAGATTTATCATCTCAAAATATAAATTCAAATAATATTTGGGTATTGAATAAAGACCCAAATATATTCATGCTAATTATATTTTTTCAGCAAATTGTATTTCAACTTGTCGAAATTGTTTGAATGCAAAAAAAAAGATTAATAAAAAAAAAAGTAATCCGACCTACCCTACCTATTTTTATCTAGCTCGTTACCTGAAACACACCTTTTTTTTTTTTTAGGCCTAATGATAATTTTCTTGGACGGCATTGCTGCTTCGTCAAAACACAGTCCTTCAACAAAGAGGAACTGTGGTCCAAAGCGTCATCGTGTCACTGATCAGCCCGAATCTGAGTCAGAACTCAAGAAAGCATTTTGGTCGTAATATAAACCAGCATCAGATAATTTTAGGTCGAACTGTACCTCTGCATTCATGCGTTTTTTTTGGTATTTTTTGGCGGACCAGGTTTTCTCTTTTTACGAGAAACGTTTCATGATACAAACGTGTTAGCAGTGGCGGCAGCCATGTTGTTGATGTTATGACTGAATAGAGCATGCGCAGAACTTTCAACGAAAAGGAGGCAGTGATTCGTCTGTCAATCTATTTTAATTAGCCTTGTCGTTAAGCCCGTAGAAAAACAATGATACTCGTAGCTGTTTATCGTCGCATTTTTATTATAATATTTAGCACTTTTCTAAGTTCAAAATTAACTATTTTGTTTTACTAGTGTGAAGACAACCTTGCAACATTTGAAAATATGCAAAAAAAAAAAAAATGTCCAAAAATATGCCATGAACCTAGGTCTCATCCTTAATGTCTGTTTACATAACATTTGTTTGTATCAAAATATATATTATATCAAAAAAATCCACAGGGTCTGATCGTGTGCAGTAACTTTGTATAATGGTAAACAATACTTACATGTTCGACCCCCACAGCATACGATGACATCATTCACCCAGTCTGTATGGTGTTCCATGGATTGCACATATGGATCCTGAATCCAGCGTAGTAGCAAATAATATATACAGATAAAATAAATTAATTATTGCAACGCCTGAAATTCAAGAAGGCAACAAAGACCATTGCTTGATGCACAATTGGTTTGTTTTAGTTCCTTTCAATATTTTCTATATCATTTCTACATTGTAAATGCTAAAACCATTTTGATTTTGAAAATGAGCGACATCTAAACTGCCAAGTTAAAGCCCTGTCAATGCACTAAAAACTCATGTATTTGAGACTGGTGCTAGTACGTAGGTGTAGTGACAGTGACAAATTTAGTGAGCTATGACAAATTACATACTTTAGGTTTATAACAATGAGATTTTACTGGGGTAGTTAGACATTGAGACACAGCGACATTTGTGAAATTTTGTCCCTCAAATTATAAAATCGCAAACAGTTTGGTAATTGAAAATTTAATTTATCAGGAGTTCAATATACAACTTCCATTGCATAAATTTTGTTTTCAATTTCAACATGTGGTTGCATATGGGTGCGCCAACATACACAGAGCTGAACAAGCTGATCATTGAGATGAGACATTTCATTTTAATAATAAACGATAAATAACACATTAATTACCTTAATAATATTAGGATTCCATATCCTGATAATAGAATCTCTTCCTGCCGTGTATAATCGTTGTGTGATTGGATCATATTGAAGACCATTGATTCCTGACCTATGACATCTTTCTATTTCATCTCGGATTACAAAGGACACCTGTAAACCAGACAAGATTGGCACACACAGTTAAAGCGGGAGGGTCGTCACCTGCGCACGCACGGAAATTTAGTCCCAAGCGATGATAACAACACACGCTAAAAATGCAAAGGCTCATGGGTGGACGCTAGTTTGTTAACAATTACATGCTATGGCAACAAAATGCATGCGCAGGTGACAACACACCCGCTTTAAGTGTAAGTGAACACTGCCATCAATGGTTAGAGTTTGTGCTAGCTTTGTTGACCTACACATATAACCTACACATGCCAAAACCAAATCCGTCCAAGAAATGTTTTTCTTTTTTACCCCCAGATGTAAACATCATAACAAAATATGTCAATTATTTGTGTACGAGTAAAGAAAAGATGAGCAATGAAAAATACATGCAATACAATAATGTTACCATGGTAAGCCTGTTTATAGATGGTTTCACATCAGAAAATAAGGTCGTTTTAGGGCTTACCCAAATTTTAAGTTTTAGTATATTTTGTGTGTGAAAACAAATATTTAGGCCAACCTGAATAAGTCACACCTTGGAAGGGGGTGCAAGGGACGACCCTAATTTTAATTCCCAAGTTAGGCCAGCTTAACTACAGTATGAACAAGCCCCTATTTTAAAGAGATAGCTGACAATCAAAGTGGCCAAAAGAGAAAGTTTCACCAACCATATCCCAAATCAAATTGAACAGTTATTTGTGCCCAATCTCCTCGCCAAACACAAATCAAATTAGTTGGAAGAACTCCAAGACGGTTTAAGACACCAATCTGATGATGCAAATCATTCGTTGGGATTTGCTACATAAATACAGAAAAACAACAACAAAATTTCGGTTGGCCTTAGGCCAGCTAAATGTGAAACAAGATTATAATTGCTATATCCAAAATATAATAATATTATACATTCTTGTGATAAATCTGTGTTATCAGTCCCTGTATGAATACGTGTAGTTCTTATATATTTCATGACCAGAACCAGATAGGGTGGTAAACATATAGTATAAATTTCCTTTTTGTTTAGTATACATGTGCATTATTGGAAATATTATTCCTGATAAACTTAGAATGAAGATACTCAAATAATATTTGTTATAACCTCTGAAACATAATAACTATACATGTATATTTAAGAAATTTGAGAAAAGGTACTTAAAATTAATAACTATGGCAAACTGTCATTTGACTATAGGCAGTCATTTTTTTTTTTTTGTATACATGTATATGGGCATATACTCAAATTTGTGCATTTCTTTTTGTAATGATTCACCCACCAATTATAACCATCCCTGGAATAATAGGTGCACGCTTAAGGAAAATGCTTAGTACAGAAAAACATTGTAGATTTGCAAATGTGTTTGAATCATGCCTTCTCATCTACTTTTAGATGAGAATTACACTTAAAACTTGTTCTACATAAATTCCTGATTGTGTGATTTGCAAATATATATGATTGCTGTCATTTTTGTATACACCCAGAGCTGCTGACGGGACAGGAGGTGGGTATGTGAGGAGCCAGGTGGGTTCTTTATTTTCCGTTATTTTGACCGGCTCACTCAGGCTTGCAAGGATAAGCTGTAAGTCATTGATTCATCCAACATGTACATTATTGAAATTTCCACAATTCTTTTAGAGGGTACAAAGTTAGCTGATGATGTCATGAAGTTTCAGTAACACACTCTATCATAAATTGAAGCCCATAAAAGTGTGTGAACTCAATATATTGTATAATTCAAACACAGATATTGATAAAAATACAAAAGGCACAACATTTTGTAGCTCAATTTCCTTGTAAAACAAGATTTAAGTATATTCTCCTACAATCAAGCTTCCTGAAAATATACTACACTGCAGTAATTAAGGTAAATTTCACAAAATGTATAATTACAACCAATATGTTTTTACTGTGGCTACAATAATTTTCACAGTTATTCAAACAGCGGTCACAGAGGGCAGGCATTCACTAGATCATTTCCTTGTATGCACAACTGTGCTATAAGCTATACTTCGTCAGTACCGTTAATTTAATGTTATATTTTTTTAGTGACTAAATATCATCTATAAAATACAGTTTGTAGATGCCGCTAAATCAAGAACTATTTTTACTGCACATCAGACATTGGAATAGCAGAAGTCTAATGTTCAAGTCAAAACTCATTCACCTCATCCCTGCAACATTATTTTTCTTAATGCCCATCTTCATATTATTCCGAAGCATTTTATAACAGTGCCATCACTACTTATCTCCTATCCTCCTCATAATTCCTCTCTGAATTATTATTCACCTTTCATCCTATTGTAATTTATACTGCTCTGTTTTTACTTCTCTAACATTTTTTACATATCTGGGCTTCTGTCTCTTTGACTGGGTACAAGATGTTTGTATCTTGTAGTAGTAGGTAGAAGCCTCTCTAGCATGGGTCCGAAAACTCAACACTTTCAATACATATCGTATTTTGTGGTCGTTAAATAATTTCAACACAAACCCGACAATTGTGGTTGCAAATTGGAAATGCACCACGGTAAGTGATGAGTTGATGGTCAGTGCTCGATGTTAGCATTTTAGGTGGCAAAATATCTCTAGAAATGTCACTTGTCACCCCCGTGTAAATAAAAAAAGTCCTCCGTGGTCGAAAATAACAACGTATCTAGCATTGCCACAGCGCCTGCTATATGACCACGACTGTATACCTACGACGAATTCATCGATATTATGAAAGGTATACAGTCAGACACTATATTTGTACAATGTTGTTGAAAATCGGACTCGGAGCGATTTGCTTCATTGAATACACCGTGCTGAATGTACGCTCAATTCTGGGTGTGTTTTGATCATGCCTGGTACGCCGGACACAAAAATAACTCGTTCTTATGAAAAAGACGTTACGATCATATCCCCAGGGTCGTGTGCATGATAAGGGGTTGATACAGTTTTAAAAAAACTCAGCACTAAAGGTCCACAATTAGTAATGTGTCGATGTTTACCTGAACTTTCTTCCGAGCGACGCTCGGCTGTCGGTGATGAACCGCCATATTGAAACCTCGAAATGTGATGACGTCACGAGAAAGGTATACAGTATGGCATACGTCACCACTAGTGTATATATAGTGCTACCTGCGCGAGTTCTTTCGGAAACTGAAGAGGATTTCTCATTGATAGACGAACTGGTTTAAGTTAGTATCACGTTTGTTTTGATTCAAAAGTAACGTCACAAATTGCTGATTTAAACACAAAACATCGACTTTTAGGTTTTCTTTTATCCAAAAGAAATGTCTTTTTAGATGTAATACTGTCTGAAAAAATACTTTTTCAGAATCTATAATTCGAACCAATCTTATAACTACATTAGGAACCATTTACCATTTTTTTAATTCTTTTGCGAAAAGTACTTTTTATATAGACTGTGTGAACATCTTGCGATTTTTTAATAGTAGCCAACTTCAAGTTTACAGTTCCGGCTTTTATTCTGCTCTGACGAAACCTGTCTAGCAAAGCAGGTGTGTGGTATAGCTACATGTATGACGTAGGTTATCGATTATTATCGTAATAAACGTGTTTTATTGTTGATGATGATATTTTTTGCTAATAATTATTCTATTACTATATTCAACATTCAAAATTTTGTACCAAGAAACACGACTACGAACACCTGTGTTTTACTATAGGTCAGATTGTGTCAGTTTAAAAATAGAATTCTCAGAATTCTGGGAGAAGATAACAGTTTTGTGTCGGGACAACTTCAGAATGTTAGGTATTGTTCCATTTTGTCATTGTTTTACTTTATTTAGTTCTTTGTGATTGTCGAGGCTTGACGTAACATGTACGGTCTATACGAGGTCATTGCCGGTACCACAAATACACATTTAAACACGATAGGAGCGATCAGTGTTTGTCGTATTGTATTTTTACAACATGTCGCGCCTATACCAAAGGTCATTGAGTCATCTTCGTGTTAAATACCGACACTTAACTGGTTGAAATAGACTACTCGTTTCAGAATAAGTCATTTCACCCAAATCTGCTGTTGTGGGGAACAAGGTGGCTTTCAATGTACGGGTCGCTGGTTCAAGTACGGTCTTCAAGTTCGGGTGTATATGCGTTAGGAGCCATATGTGCTCGCAGATTAAAAGCAATCATAGTATTGCCTACACCAGATTTTACTCAGATTGCAAGCGCCTACACATCTGGAAAAGGACCCCTATTAAATACGAGATTACAACGCTGTATAATGCAACAGCTAATAAGACGTCGATCAAAAATAAATACGCCATTTTTCATGCTATCTAGATTTCGAGATTTAGCATTTTGAATCAATAAATTGCGTTCCGCCTCCTTTTTTTCAAATTAACATTTTTTTAGATCTGATATTTCAATATATAGCTCCGTGTAAATCAGTCGCATCCACGAGGTATTACATATCGGCTGGTGGATTCTGTCTCTCCATGGCACAGAATACCGACCATGGGACCGACACAGACAAATTGTGTAATACCCCGGTACTAGTAATATATTGATAAAAAGTGTTTCTCGATATCGTAGCTACACCCGAAAAGGTAAAATAACAATTTCACTTCCTGTGATTTTTATTTTGCAGACATTATGGCTATGGCACCCAAAGTATACTTCCTGTTACTCGTTTCTATCAGCCTTTACAATGCAGCAGTTACTGGTCAAGGTGAGTTAGATTTTAACCACGTAACTCTGTTACATGAACACATTACATAGTGTGCAGAGGTCGAATGAGTCATCTAAAAATATGTAGAATGCTGTAATCAGGAAACAATCGTAGTGTTGTAGGTCGAAAACAAGTCAGCCCATCAAATCATTTGAACTAGGCCTCCATTTTGAAATTCTTTTATAAATTCTTTTTGAGCACTTGGAAAGATTATTTCGAAATTTAGGGACATAAAAAATACGGGTTCCAATACTCATACCGCAGTTTATGAAATTTGTGGTGCGGTAATTTATTATGAATTTTATATTGTTTGAGAAAAAAATCAAGATGTGTTCTAGTAATATATACAGGTCATAGTGCTGATAAATTCAATTTGGTTGAACATTAACTCTAGTTACTAAAGTGAGGGATGGTGATTGTGGAATGTACTTTATTTGTTATCGTATTTCTATATTTCTTTGTGTCATTTATTCTTACATTTATATTCATTGAGTTTGAGTCCAGGGTAGGCGTTCTATGTAGACACCCCCCCCCCAATTAAGACTAATACTATCATGCATGGGTGTACATGTTTAAAACGCAAAGTTTCTTCGGAAGTGATAATACCCAACATAATTGACATATATATTGTCATTGTAACAGACAATCCCACACTATTTATATGTAACATTGATTGACCTCACAATTCAAATTGAATACCTGTATTAGTACGATCATATATGTATTATTAGGAATAATTCCATTATAACGCATTTCATTCAATTGAACACCACAAACACGGACACTGACTTTCAACGTAATTATAAATCCGCTGCTCGACACATTTGATAGTCACTTTCTGTCATAGGGGCACTTAACAAAAGAACCGTCGCTATTATTTTAATTTATGAATTTTTCCGCAACCAGTGTTACTGTTTTCGTATTATCTCTATTTGAAACTAACGCAGATAGGAGGGAGGTATATATCAACAAACCAACCTGGGTAAAACCATGGCATTACTTTTAGTGGTTACAAAATATATTAGTATATACTATGACAAAACGAGAGACATGAAAGACAAAAATTGAATCTTAGACACGTTCTATAAGACAACCAAACATAAAATAAACCTAAAATGAAAATACTCGTGGTACTTTAAAATAGTGAAAATGTTATAGTACACTTTCTGTGTGACCTCAAATGTTGAAGTAAAAAATGAGTCATTCTCAATTCACCTAAAACCAATAAGCTCACTGTTTTTTTTTTTTTATTCACATTTCACCAATAAGAGAAAATATAAAACACGGAGGAAAGAGGAGGGGGGAAGGATGAATAAATAAAAATAAATAAACTACAATACAGGAGTAATTAATAATATCGACGAAAATCAAAGCAATATATACAGAAACTTCAGGGAGTGTAAATGTTAACGATTATAACACAGATTGGTTTAATAGCAAATTTGATGTGAGACAGGGGGATAATCTGTCACCAACAATTTTTTTATTAGCGATTTGGCAGTGGGTCAGAAAGAATTCAACAGGGACATACTGATCAGTGTAGACAGTGTGTCTATCTTGTTATATGCCGATGATATAGCGATAGTATCAGAAAACTAGGATCATATGCAAATAATGTTGGATTTCTTTAATTCGATAATGGTGTCAGAAAGATTCGAAACAAATTCGGCTTTTCATGCACTTGGAAAGATTATTTCGAATTTTAGGAACATAACAAATACGGGTTCCAATAGTTATACCACAGTTTCTGAAATTTGTGGTGCAGTAATAATGGACTATTGTTCTGCTAAGTCATCTTCGTCGGCAATAAAGACACGGGCTGGGTATGTTCGAAGGACAGTCACTGAGTAAACATGGCAAAATATATGAGTGAAACGGATATTTTTGTGGGATAATTTAATGTGGGTAAGTAATTGGACTATTCAGATGAATAAGGTTTTTAGTCGTGTGATATTGATATATATATATATGCTAATGGAGGCAAATACTTACGAAACATTGAAGTCAGATTACGGTAATGCAGAGTATTTAGTAAGTGTGCCAATACATCGTGAATTGTCTTGTTTTCATGTTATCTGTACTTAAAACATGTGAATTTCACTGTATTTACTCTTTTGCGCAGCGGCCAGTTTCAACCATGTATTCCTTGTTGACATTCTATTCAGCAAAACTTTTTTCAGTCGATCGTCATCCACAATCATTGTGAATGGTAATCTATATAGGTAGAAATCAAAATCATTTGCATTACTCCATCCAATAGCTTTGCACCTTTGCGACCCTTCTTATCTGCTACAACACTTTGAGTAATGTTTTTGTATGGTGTTTTGTATGATTCGGGATCGCGCATATAGTACTTTAGTTAGACATTTTGTTCCAATTTTGTACTCATCACAGCAACTATTAAAGCGTGGGGGTTGTCACCTGCGCATGCGTGTCCATAGCGTGTCATTGTCTACAAACAGTCGTCTACCCATGAGCCTTTGCATGATTAGCATGCGTTGTTATCGTCGTTTGGGACTCAATTCAAGAGCGTGCGCAGGTGATGACCCTCCCGCTTTAAAGAAAAACACATTGCTATCATCATCTAGGAAATCCGAAAAGTCAGCAGTCACCAATAATGTTAGGATTACAATGTGTATTAGCCCACGCTAAGCTTGATGGAAAGTCCAAAACAAGGGGAACTCGTTTATTGAGGTTAATTCAAACTATTATTTTTCCAGAAAATATTTTGCTTTCAGCATCACATAATACACCATTAGATATGGTACCAAGTTCGGATCGTACCTATTTATATATATGTTAATTCCAAACCATTAACTCGATTATAAGCAAAGTTTTATTTAGTCAATAAACGAAGCACATATACTAGTCTCTACCGTTAATCAGATGTATATTTTATCCAAACAAAACTATAGTAACAAGATAAAGCACAGTTGATTGATTGTTTTGTGCAAATATTTGCCATGATTACCCAATGCACAAAATTCCAAAGTCGAGATATTATTTGTATATCCACGCGCAGGTTTTTAATAATTGTCTAAGATACCGTATGCATTAAATATTGGTTGAATGCTTTGTTTAAATTTTAGCCTTCTCAAAGGGCAATGTAAAGAAAGGGGATGCGACATATTTTGCCTGTGGGGTTGAAGATGATCCTGCTATGCACAGATACATATGGTGGAAGAAGGATGGAATACAAGTAAGTACCAGAGTTGTGTAGTTGATATCAAAAATAAGACATGGACATGTACTACCAACTAGTGTGATTTGCGACGATCTCCAATTTGAGGTTACAAATCAAGAGATAATTACAACATTATTGGCCATCTCTATAAACACCATTGCTGTCTTTCAATCA